ATGTAGATCCTCAGTTAGGTGGTTAACCGATCCAGGGTATGACTGTGGCAATGAGTAGGTCCGGAAACATGTTGGACAAAACCCACTGAGTCGATGATGGCTCCGAAAGCCTTTTGGAGTGGTTCTGTGGACTTTTCCATGTGAATATTAAAGTCACCAAATATTTGAATATTATCTGCCATGACTACAAGGTCTGATAGGAATTCAGGGAACTCAGTGAGGAACACTGAGTATACCGAGTATATCCACATCACCATCAGACCATTTTATTGGTAAACTACACGGTAATGTAAAAGTTGTAATCCAGAGAGATTAGAAAATGTATCTAGATCCTCTATGAGGCTGTGGAGGGATTCAAGTTGTGGATTTATAAGAAAACATGAATCATCAGCGTACAATGACACCTTTGTTTTTTAGCCCTGGATTTCTAATCCCTTGATATTAATGTTGGATATGATTTTAATAGCTAACATTTCGATGAACATAATAAATAGATATACCGATACTGGACAACCTTGTTTTACTCATCTTGAAAGTTTAAAACTTTCTGAGAAACTATTTTACACCTAGGGTTACCATACATGATTTTAACCCATTTTATAAGAGATTCTCCCAAATTGAAATGCTCCAGGTATTTTATCCAGTCGTATTATATCAAAAGCCTTTTCAAAGTCAGCTATGAATAACAGGCCTGGTTTCCCAGATTTTTCAAAGGTTATGCTGTTACTCCTCACAGTTCTAGACAGGTCAGGTCACAGGGAAGATTGAAAACAACAACAAACAGCAGGGATCTAGACAGCCACAAACCCGGGACAATCCGCGGTCCCAGCCACAATGGCTAACCGGGTCGCGGGCTGCGTTCAAGCCCTCATGAAAACCCTGCTAGCTTGATAGGCAGCTAGCTAGCAGATAGGCTAGCTGCTACGCCAAATAGCTCCTCAGACCCGGCCTTGGTCAGCAGGATCACTGGACAGACAGTAGCAGTCCCAGCAACTGATGCCAACTGCGTCGCGGGATCCAAAATCAAAAGTTAGCTAGCTACAAATAAACTTTTCAATACACTTTCAAAACAACAAACATTCCAAAACAACAAACCGAGCTCTCCTTCGTTCCACGTTCAACAGTTAGCTGGCTAAACTCAAAAGTTAGTTAGCTACTAAGAAACCTTTCAATACCCTTTCCAAAACAACAAACCTTGCTCCACTCCCTGATCTACTGGGTGAGCAGACTTCTATTCCAGGCCAGCAATAATACACATTATTATCAACTCATTAGGTTTGATAAGTTGAATCAGGTGTGTTAATGCTGTGCTGGCACAGAAGCCTGCACACCTCCAGGAGAAGGATTGGCCTGCTACAGTTGTAATACATTTGTAGCCTAACTTGTGTGTGACTTTTAACTGTATTGTTGTATACAACTTTTGCTAAGTACACATACAACCCATGGCATACAAGGATGTGCCAGCAGTCTTTTGGGACATTCACTGGGACCTCTTCATCGGCAGACAGGCTTTCGCAGCTCTCCATTTCTGAGGACAGACATCACAAAGAAACAGGCTTCATTTTATTACAGTTAGACAGCCCTGACTATTATCTCTCTGTCTGTCTTCATAGTTTTCCTCTCTAGGGACATTAACTGGAGAATATTTTCATAATGAAATCCTACAACCTGCCCTATCTAACTAGTACATCTACTCCATTTTCTGACAGCTGGAGCAGAAAATAATTTCACCCCCTTCCATTGCTGTACAAATGGATTTGGAGAAAACTTTATTGAAAGTATAGGAAGCATTGCTTTTTTCAGCGTGACTGGCCATCAGAGTTTACCCATCAATTTTTTACCACTACATCACTGGTTAAGACCTGCTTTTTGTGGGTCTTAAAACGTCCCATTAGCGCTGCATGAAATTGTAACTTTTGTGCTCGTTTTTAAGGACACACCTCAAATCTTGCCACCCCTCCCACCTGGGCGCAAGCGAGCTAATGATAGACAGGTCAATTGCAGAACCTGGTATTAGGGCTGGAAAATGGCAGTGCGCCAGTTTTTACATGCCGAAATGACAAACTAACATGCGTTTGACACTTGCTCCTCTTTAGCGCCAGCCAAAAATATTTATTTAATATTTATTTATTAAGTGATTAAAATGCATAATTATGTTACCAAATCTCGGTAACAATATGACCAAACAATCTGTAACTGAATAACTGCAACTGAATTGGCGACGATGGGAATTCATTGCAGTCACAAACCAGTTTGGTCACGTGCTACTGTCCTCCCTTCCACTGGCATACTGTTATGTTCAGCTCATAACTTTTTTCTTTCTCTTTCTGTCACGTGGTAGTCAAAGCAAGAGTGTGAAAACAGTCTGGACAACCCCTCCCTCTCTCTCTCTCCAGTTAATGTCTCCCGGTTCTTACTGATACCTACCAATGAGCGGTAGGTAGCCTAGCGGTTAGCGTGTTGGGCCAGTAACTGAAAGGTTGCTAGTTTAGATCCCAGAGTTAATAATGTGAAAAATCTGTCCTTGAGCATGGCATTTAACCCTAATTGCTCCAGCGTCGCAGTTAATAATGGCAGACCCCTTGCCATGACCCCACTCTCAGGAAGAGTTGGCATATGCAGAAAAACACATTTCAAATTCACAAATGCGTATAAATACACACATCTACATGTGTGAAATATGACAAATATAAGCACCCACCAAATTATTATTTTATTACGAGCCCCCTCACTTTCCATTTACTGGAACCAGCCCTCTCACCCACTGAGCACCAACCGACACCAGACATCCATGGACATTGAAAAGTAGTTGAAATTTGGTCAGTCCAAATCTGAACCAATCATAGATGTCTGTTTCACACGTTTTGACAGCGCAGTACAATACAGTAGAGCACACTAGAGTAGAATACAGTAAAAAGTACGGTATTGCACTTTACTGTACTGTACATTACTGTGCTGTACTGAACTATACTATACCATACTATACTGAACTCTACTCTGCTCTGCTCTGCTGGGCTGTGATGTGCTGTACTGTGATGTCCAAACTTGTGAAACATAGACGTCTATGATTGAGACAGATTGGGTCCGGTTTGGACCAACCAAATTACGTCTTACTGTATTTGGAGTGCGGAGCTCATTCGAATAATAGCCAGTGTGTAGCATAATACCCAGACATGCAAAGGGAGATATTACATTTTTTACCTTTGTGTACCTACTCAGGATATATCACTGTGAAGAGAATGATATTCATAATTATGCATTACTGTATAGAACAGATCAGGGACCCATGATGTCATTTTGTTACCATCATTCTGTTACCGGGTGTTAATCCACTTCACTTTAGTTCAATAACCAAAATAGATTTTTTCAAACTCAAGGTGTTATATCATAGCTAACACCCCACTGTTTTTGCTGATATCTTTAAATCTTAATTGGGAGTAGAGTTTTTTTGAAAACGTGGTCACATAAAAATATGAGAGATTTCACCGTCATTCTGCACTGTTCTTTGAGTAAATGTGTTTGGTAACATGTTGCCAGATGCAATAAGAAAAGTATAGAAAAACTTTATCAGTGATAGCCTGTTGAGGCTGAATATATAAACATCAGGGTGGCACGCACACACACACTTCCCCTACATCCGTGATCCCTCTTTCCCTTCAGCTCAGATCCTATCGTTTCCTGTGTTATGTAAGCAATTCACATGAACACACACCAGTATAACATTAGCTAAGCACTGTGGACACAGAAGTTGAAGTCATTCTCAACCTCTTGCCCCGTGCTGGAAGGGACAAGGATGTGTTGCAGACCCTATTTGACTTTGCTATTAGTTCTTTCAAGGCCATTGCCTTGACACGTCTCTGCTCTTCTCTGACGGAAGTGTCTGCTCCTCACACAGGCCTCTACCTCTCTCCTCACAGTCACCATACTGGGGGCATAGGAAATGTGCTTATCTGGCTTGGACTGTTTGTTTGTAATGTTAAGTTGTGGTTGCCTGAGTAGGGTTGCTTGGTATATGTGTGCAGAAGGACAGGCTGCCAAGACCGGAGGAGCAAATAAACCAAGCTACGTAAAAAAAATAGAGGTCTCATATAAAAGGAATGGTTGGATATTTCTGCAACTAGAGAGTATTTGGGTGGAAAGCACAGCCTCTCTGCCCAGTAGAGGATTATTGAAGCTTATTTGGCAATGGATTTTCCTCCTAAGGATGGCAAGAATGTCTTTCCTCTGTCGTCAAGACCTGAAGCTTTTTGTGGGTTGTGTTTTAAATGGCATCTGAGGATGCACAATTTAGTTCAGTATGGATAACAAAAGATTGCTGCAAGGGAGAGGAGTATTGGGAATGCACGGGTGTTATTTAGGACAGGATATTTTCAATGAATGTCAGAACATGGAACTCTTGAGCACAATGACACTTACTTATGAAGTGTGTGTGTGTGTTTTCTATTTGTGTGTTTGTATGTGTATGCTCTTACGAGAAAGGGTCATTGGGTGTGAATGGATGTCTGTCTGGAATAATGCAAACCTTACTATGGCCCCAGAGGTCAAATTGCCATATTTCCTGTTCCTCAAAGCGTGGGGCAGATCAACTCACCGCTCTCTCCTCATATGAATCACAGCATGAGAAGAACAATGTCATGCCCCCACCCCCAAACATGCACCACCCCCAGAGGCAGAACTAGACACACAGCTGGACCATAATACTAGAAGAGAGCAGAGGAGTACAGAGTGTAGAGGAGACCGGTGTCGTCTGTTGAAGTCAAGCTGCTGAACTCATCTGAGACACAGCAAAGACTCTTGGCAAACTTTGGCAGGAACACAGTGGTTTGAAGTGTGATATTGAGATTACAATTTCAGACTTGGGACACAGAGGCTGCGTTACACGGAGCAGAGAACGGAAGGAAGGGAGAGGAGTGCGAGAGGCAGCTCTCTCTGCTTGTGGAAGTAGCTCGTAACCATAACTTATAGCTTTCGCTGTGAACGTACGGATCTTCTGCAGCACTATGAGTCTCTCTGCTCCAGCCGGGACTCTGCTATTGCTGCTCTCTCTCTCCGCTCTCCTCCATGGCTGTTCCTCCTCTCCCACCACAGAAGAGTGCACTGGCATGGGCGTCCGTAAGTTGGTGCATCTTTCTTTTTTTTTTTTTTTACTCCTTCAGGTCACTTTCATTAAGCAAACCACAAACGAAGGGTTTGTCGTTAAAAACTCTGAATGTGTGTGTTTGTGTGTGAATTTTTTTCTTTTGGTAGATGTAAGTAAAAAAACAAGTAAGTAGCTTGGATGTAGTCATTTCAGCTGATGCAGCTTATCTTTCCTGTGATTTTGAAGATATACCCGCATGCAAGCTCTTATCTACTGAGTAGGAATGCGTTCTCTATAGGGCGGTTTATGTAAGTTACTGCCATGTACCGGCCAGCTCTTTCCCGTATATTTAATCATTAGCTGAAATGAGCCTGAATTCTCTGGTAACTTTCACTATAGCCTGCCACTTAACTTTTATGGCTAAAACAGCAGCAGGTTAAACTGGAATGTGAATTCCATGGGTGATTGAAAAAAATGTGTGTTCACAGCGCTGAGCCACTACACACACAGGCAAGGTACTGAACAAGAGAGTTAACCTTCTTAGGAAAAAACGGTGCTATCTAGAACCAATAAGGGTTATTCGGCTGTCCCCATAGAAGAACCCTTTGATTTTTGGTTCCAGGTAGAACTCTTTTGGGTTCCATGTAGGACCCTCTGTGGAAATGGTTCTACCTGGAACCCAAAAGGGTTCTGCCTGGAACCAAAAAAAGTTATCCTATGGGGACAGCCGAAGAACCCTTTTGGAACCATTTTTTCTAAGTGTGTAGGAGCAAAACAAGCTTTAGTCTATCTGCATTTCAAATGTGATAAATATACTGAACAAAAATATAAACGCAACATGTAAAGTGTTGGTCCCATGTTTCATGAGCTGAAATAAAAGATCCCAAACATTTTCCATACACCCAAAAAGCTTATTTCTCTAACATTTTGTGCACAACTTTCTTTGCATCCCTGTTAGTGAGCATTTCTCCTTTGCCAAGATAATCCATCCACCTGACAGGGGTGGCATATCAAGAAACGGCTTAAACAGCATGATCATTACACAGGTGCACCTTGTGCTGGAGACAATAAAAGGCCACTCTAAAATGTGCAGTTTTGTCACACAACACAGTGCCACAGATGTCTCATGTTTTGAGGGAGCGTGCAATTGGCATGCTGACTGCAGGAATGTCCACCAGGGCTGTTGCCAGAGACCAGCCACCCGGACAGCTGATGAAGCTGTGGGTTTGCACAACCGAAGAATTTCTGCACAAACTGTCCGAAACCGTCTCAGGGAAGATGATCTGCGTGCTCGTTGTCCTCACCAGGGTCTTGACCTGACTGCAGTTCAGGGGGCAAATGCTCACCTTCGATGGCCACTGGCACACTGGAGAAGTGTGCTCTTCATGGATGAATCCTGGTTTCAACTGTTCCGGACAGATGGCAAACAGCGTATATGGCGTCGTGTGGGCGAGCGGTTTGCTGATGTCAACGTTGTGAACAGAGTGCCCTATGGTGCCGGTGGGGTTGAGGTATGGGCAGGCAGGCATAAGCTACAGACAATGAACACAATTACATTTTATTGATGGCAATTTGAATGCACAGAGATACCGTGATGAGATCCTGAGGCCCATTGTCCTGGCATTCATCTGAGCCATCACCTCATGTTTCAGCATGATAATGCACGGCCTCACGTCGCAACGATCTGTACACAATTCCTGGAAGCTGAAAATGCCCTAGTTCTTCCATTGCCTAATTACTCACCAGACATGTCATCCATTGACATGTCATCCATGTTTGGGATAATCTGGATCGACGTGTACGACAGCGTGTTCCAGTTCCCGCCAATATCCAGCAACTTTGCACAACTTCGAATATATAGTACCACAGACCACTTTAATGGTCTTGCCAGACCCCTCCCATGACCCAAGGTTGTTTTAAAGCTGATGAGATCACTTTGTTCTTAATGAGCTGAATCCTAGCTTGAGATCCACTCGCGTAACTCAGGTTTTCACCAAAAATGTCCCTTCGACTACGGATGTGAAAGTCCTGCAAGCTTTTCGCAGTGGGCTGAATCCTAACTTGAGATGTGCAAGCATATCTCCATCCTTTGTGTATATCACGCATTGATGTCATTGGAAGATCACGTCACCTACACATGTTTCAAGTTAGGGGTATGCCTTATCTGAATGCTTGACTAGGATGCACAGCTTTTGCTAGGTAAAATATCAGTATGTGAATGCATTTATACTGAAAACAATTTCATGCAGAACCTCTAATGAATCATCAAATCTCTTCTGTTTCTACCTCGACAGGGCTGCGCTCCTTCAAGTTGGTGTCCAACTGTAACTTCACCACCCTGAAAGACAAGCAGATCCAGGAGGTGCAGGCTCCCACCACCGTGCTCTACGTGCCCATCCTCTACCTGTTAGCCTTCACTGTGGGCCTCCCGGCTAACCTCCTGGCCCTGTGGGTCCTTCTGTTCCGTACCAAGAAGATGCCCTCCACCATCCTCCTCATCAACCTCACCGCCACCGACCTCATCCTCCTGATGGTGCTCCCCTTCCGCATAGTCTACCACTTCCAGGGCAACGACTGGGTCTTTGGCGAGCCCTTCTGCCGCGTGGTCACGGCGCTCTTCTACGGCAACATGTACGGCTCGGTGCTGTGCCTGGCATTCATCGCCGTGGACCGCTATGTGGCATTGGTGCACCCGTTCGGTGCCAAAACCCTCCGCAGCCGCCGCACCTCCCTTTACATGAGCCTGGGTGTGTGGGTGGCGGTGCTGGCCGCCATGGTGCCTCTCCTCGTCTCGCGCCAGTCCTACACACTGGACAAGCCGCGCATAACCACGTGCCACGACGCGTTACCCGAGGAGGAGCATGAGAACTACTTCCTGTCCTACTTTCTCACACTCTTCTTTCTCTGCTTCCTGCTCCCCCTGCTGGTCGTCCTCTACTGCTATGGCTCTGTGATACGCACCCTAGTGGCGGCAGGCCAGCACTACGCCCATGCTGTGCGTGTCACCGTGCTAGTGCTGGTAGTGTTCGTGGGCTGCCTGCTACCTAGCAACGTCCTCCTTCTCCTGCACTACTCCGACTCCTACCTGGTGGATGACGGGGAGGACCTGTACCTGCCCTACATGGTTAGCCTAGCTGTTAGCACGTTGAACAGCTGCATCGACCCCTTCATCTTCTACTACGTCTCTGATGACTTCCGGGAAAAGGTCAGGACGGTGCTGTGTTGCCGAGGCGACAATGGGAGAGACTCCACCACGGGGAACCAGGTGTCCTATTCGTCCTCCTCAAACGGGAAACCAAGGTCAAAGGTTACGCTGCTGTCCATGTCTAGTCGGAGCCCGGTGACGTCAGAGGGGGAGGCAGCATGCCGATAGGTATTAGAGAACTAGACGTATAGGCACTAGGATCAGACGCAGACTCCATCTTGTGTTGTGGCGCAATGTTTTCCTCTGGTTTATGTGAGACTCATCTCATGTATACAGCCGATGACTTTTATATACAGCTGTGGGGACTTGGCACAGATGTAACAAACAATGGATGCCATTTCTGTGCAATTTCCATAAACATGCAGTCAATGGAGGGAGGTGTTTAGGATTCATCATCACGCAGGGATACATTAGTCTCTCTAGACATCCACGTTGCCTCCCACAATTTTCAAATGCTCCTCACTGTTGCCTAGTGTCTGGTTTTCGAGACTAGGGAGATCGTTTGTACCATTAGAGTTCTACAGTATTACACAGTCACTCTATAATAATGGACTGTCTTATAGAAGTCCGACAGAATGGGAAGAACACAGTTCAGGGTTACACATTTGTATGAAAAATGTATGCACTCACTAACTGTAAGTCGCTTTGGATAAGAGCGTCTGCTAAATGACTAAAATGTTTTCATTGTATTATCTCAACAATCCAGGGGTACATTCCTACAGGTAGGGTTACCTATTCTATAGCTTACAGCTCTGTGGTAAATTGTTAAATTGTCTGTGGAATAGCTGAACAGTTTGTAGCTAGAGGTCACCAACAGCATATCACATTAAGCCGTTCTAAGTGATGCCATCATTTGTTTCCATTTAGACGTGTTGGCCAAATATAGGCATGTCCATGTGAAACTGGGTATACATCTGGAATGCATTCTGTTCATACCATGCTGTGACTGCTTGTCTGGAACCCATTCAAGTTTTTGATAATTTCCTCACAAATTATACATTCTGGAGAGTGTTTTTATGGTAAGGGACAGAGTCAGCAAAACATCATAATGTGGCTGTCAGAATTATGTACCCTTAATTCAGTCATTAAAAATGTTTTTGATGTACGAACTGGTGGCCTGGTATTTTATGATATTGTTTCCACTGGTATTTATTCAGCTGGCATTTACTATGAAAGTATGTTGTATTATTGTTGTACTTAATTTTATTCACAGGTTTAAAGGAATCACTCAAATAAAGCGCTATAATTTTTTTTAGGAGATGAGAGATATATCCTATAATATGCTGAAGTACACATATATCGCCCCAAATGTATTTTTTCACACTCTCTCAAACTTCCCTGTCATCACTTGAGTGGAAACCAAATGTGTTTTTTGCTTATCTACAGACAATGGTTTTGTTCAACAAAAAAAAAACAGAAGGAAGTTTCCTTGTAAATTCTGGAGCCAAGACATACACAGTGCACTTGCCTTCGCTGTGGAACATTCCACAGTGGCAGTACATTGATACTAGCTCCCACTATCAACATGTAAATGGTTGTTAATCGGTGCTCTCAAAACACATTGAAATACCAAACCACTCTATCAAGAACTATTCATATTTCAACAACAATACCAAAGTTTATACATATGTATTTATTTAAACAAGGGGAATAATATCAATCTAACACTAAGTAGACAAAGCATATGACTGTGTAATCAAGTGCCAGCAAGCAGTGGATCCAACGCCTTCTTTTGGCCAATTGTGTGGAGTGATAAGGGGTATCATGGCATAGCAGTCTTGGGGGGTGGGGGGAGGGGGGAATAAATGAGTGACACCCATGACCAGTCGAAGCGTCAGTTGGGTGGATCTAAACTAGAATAATAACCTTTGTCTTCATTGGGATTACAATACATTTGACTAGGTATGTTGTTTTTGTTCATGAACTTTGAAAATACCGATATTGATAACTATATCTACATGTGTCTAATGGAATATTTTAATTTACAATGTAGTCTGATATACAAAGAAAACAATTTGTTTAAAGTTCTCCTTTTCCTGTATTTGGTTTGTTCAATCGAGATTAACGCTTAACTGAATGAACAACAGAGACAAAATGCAAGTATAAACATTTATTAAAATAATTTGGGGAATGGCCTCATCTCTGAGGGAAGATCCTCAGAGCCAGATGCTTTGATGGCAGGTAGCCCTATGCGGGTCAGCTGGCATCCAAACCTTCCCCGCTGGGAGTAAGGGGTTCCAATGACAGTCCTTAGCTGGTGGTGGTGGGGAGGTGGAGGGTTGTCGGTAACTTCTGCTGTAACACAGCAAGTAAGAGAACATCGTAAGTTTGACATACAAATACATCCCAAGATGTATGCCCATTGGTTGAGAGAGATGAATGTGCATTATTGTGCCGTGCTCATAGGCTATAAAGCAAATAGGTGAATGACATTCTGTACGTTGCTAATGGAAAACAGGAGGAGAGACATTATGCTATGCTGATGATGTTAACGTTTTTAAACACTAACATATACATTCCCACTATGCACATAGAAGAGGAAGCAATGTGAATTGTATTGTGCTTACTGAAAGAAGTAAAGCGAGCCATACTGATTGAACCTATGATATCAACTACATTAGATCATAAACTTGTCTTCAGCATGTCATTATTTCCTCTCAAATTGCTGACCATCAGCCAAATGGAAGCTGAGAAGGGTAGCTATAGATGTGAGACGAAGCAAATATGAAAAATCTATAAAAGTAATGGCCCATTTCAGCTTCCCAAAATAGTTAAGTTTGGTCAAAATGGCAAAGAATTATTCATTGTACTCACTAACTAAATGAGGGAGAAAGAGTATGAATGTTAGTATTTACACACTTGTATGGGCACTTTCTGTACAGTATGTATAGGACTAAGAAAGTTTACACACATATTCATACCTCTATGTTTGTGAGTGTACCTCTGTTTGCGAATATGCATGATGTGTGTGTGCGTGTATGTGTGCATGTGTATTAGAGCAAATAGGATGCACACACTTAACTACTCGACCAACAGTGTTAGCTTTGGCAAACCCATAGCAGACACTACTAGACTCATAGTGGGCTGACAAAATGGAGGCTAAATGACCTGTGAGGCTAATGGTTTCTTCCTCTAATGGTCTGGAATGCCTTAGCATGGCTATTAAAACACAGACAATTAGGTTTAGCAATTCACAGCATCCCCAGAGTAACTCCTCCACGTCATTTCTATTGATTCTCAAAAGAGGCTCTCAAAGGTAATTTATTTTCTCATGAAGATTATTTTCAACATTAGAGAAATAGGATTGTGATAACCGTCAGGGAACACAGCATCTGAACACAGAAACCTAAACTGAAACCTAAATGACATTTGGATGAGGTTTAGACCTATTGTAAGGGTTGTTTTGGTGAAATATGCTTGGTAACACATGCAGTACACTCAAATACACAAACACATTGTTTGTGGTGGGCAGTGAGACTCAAAATACAATTGATGAGAAATGAGCAAAAGGGAAATGGTAAGACAAACGGAACATCTAAACCAGGGGTGTCAAACTCACTTCCTGGAGGGCAGTGTGTCTTCTGTTTTTTGTAATTCTATTTGTAAGTCGCTCTGGATAAGAGCGTCTGCTAAATGACGTAAATGTAAATGTAAATTATTTTCAATTGGTATCCAATTAAGACCTAGTCAGGGGAGTTCCTAACCAATCAATTACCTTAATCAATCAATGATGTACAAGAGAGGATTGAAAACTTGCAGAAACAGCCCATCAGAAATTCAGTTTGACACCCCTGATCTAAACTGTCATTTTCATCTCAACTTCTCTGTCACTAATCATGAACACTGGCACTTATATACGAATTTGTGCAATATAATGTGGGTAACAGAAACAATACTGGTCATGATTTGATTAATGGAAACAAGATTTACAGTTCATGACTTCTTAGTTGGTTTTATTGGTTATATATTATTGGTTCAAATATCTGTGAAGTGGTAAAACAGAGTTGAAATGAGGTGAAGAACCAAGACATGCCAGAAACAAAAGTGGTGCAGCCCGACATCTAGTGGAGAAGTTGAGATTCAGCACATTTTGATCCTATTCTGCATAGGCCACGTCTGTGCTTACTCATACTGACGTGAATGTGGCTGCGAAGAGCTGATGTCATATGTCCAACTTAAGATCAGATGCCCTTTGTACTTGCCTATGTTATTACTATGTTATGGATGATAACACTGCTATTGATGCATTCCCTGAATTGTGACTTCCCTGTCATTTTGACCTATTGCAGCCTTTGCAGGTGACACTAGTCTCGTCTTGCTCCGTTTGATGGCACAATGGATCTTGACGCAATGAGTGATGGTGAGAGAATGCTAAGAGTTCAGATATTCTGAGGTCATAGACACGGACGATTTGTCTAAAGTTAAGCACATAACACTCTTAAAGCCTGACAAACAAAGTAAAAATTAAAACTAAATCCTTTCTCATCTCCCTTAGACATATCCACTGCAGTGATGGCTTGTGCTCTGGTCACTCTCCTAGCAGTGGTCACTGCGACAATGTGGTTATACCGACAAAGGACCATGAAGAGGGCACGCATGGTCAAGCAGACCAATGACAAAGAGCAGGACAGCCCGAAGCCTCCACCGAAGGAGTCCCCAAAATCTTCCCCCAGGGCATCCCAACGCACGGTAAAGTTAGGCCTATCAGCAGAGTTAAACTGCAAGTTGAAGCTCTAATAGTGGTAATACTTTATTTTGATAGTCTTTGATTGAAACATTACCAGCTTTCCACCATCTAGGTGTCATTTGCACATCAATACACGTCTGTTAAAATCAATACGCAACTGTTAAAATAAAATGTCACTCCCTTACTTTATCTAAGTTTTGCACTCAAGTCTTTCTCATGTGTTGTTTTTCTATTTTCTTGTGTCCAGATAGTGAAAGAGACAGATGCCACTGAGGAAGAGGAGAAGGGTGATGACGAACTGATGTGAACACTGTCAGTTAGAAAAGTTACCTGGCTTAAACTAGACAGCATGGTTTCAAATGTTTATTCCTTGATGAAATTTGTCTGTTATATTTAGGCAGGTATATTCTGCAAATAATGTTATGTTTTTTACAATATTCACATTTTATTAAAATATGTATTGTTAAACCACACAACGACC